AAGTATAAGTTAAAATATAATAGTTGGTTATGTAGAGTAAACGAAGTTGAATTTGTCCGCGAATGAGAGAACCGCGAATAAAGAATTTATTTCCGCGAATATGAAAACACGGTATTAAAGACGTTGGAGATCCTTGGGTCAAGATGGGCCAAGAAGTTGAAAATTCGGGAATTGACAGTTAAAAACCCTTATAATTTTCTCCTGAAATTTCCAGCTTTGTTTATCGAGTCAAATTTTGTAAATTTTAATTTTAAAAGTACATTTTTTAACATGGCTATGATAGAAGCGCGCAAAATTTCTCGCACAATTTTTAATATAACTTGAGAGTAATTTGGGAGATCCTGATCAAATTTCGTGTAATTATAGATGAAATTATATTACCTTTCAAACGGTATCGGTTATATTGTAAATTTACGAGCATATTTCAAAGTAATTTTATAAAAATAAAAAAATGTTGTGTTTGCTCTACAATCTAACTCGAGAGATTAGCAGCAGACAAAAATACGCGCGATAGCATGCGTATTGGCTTTGAGCCTATGATACCACCGACCCACCTTGTCAAATCAAGTATCTATCAAGAATCTATCAATCTAAATCTTTTAATATAATTAACCTTTTAATATAATTAACATGTTATTATAAGTAAATGAATGAGACTTTTTTTATCGCTACTGCAATATAATTTAATATTCATTTTTTGTATAAATACAAATGTAATTAATCATTTTTTAAAACTCAATGTATCATATACAATTTTATTCAACCAAAAATAGCGTTATAGCTAAATAAAATTTAATTACATTAGCGTTTACGCATTATAGCCTCGTGTCATAAATCTTAAAGTTTAATAGCAATCATAGCGTTGCAGCAAAAATGTTCCTTTTCTGTAAAATAAAAGAAAACTTTTATTTGTGTAAAAAATGAATCAATTGAATACACAATGTAATTGCGAATTGAAAAATCTATTTCAACAATGGTAGTGAGCGTATATGCGTGCGATTACACGCTCTGACACGTCGATGATTGTACTGCCAAAAAATCTCCAGTATGATAAATCACGTTTAATATTGATATCATCTTTAAGATCAAGTTTTTAACTTTAAAATGCCTTGTCTAAAATTGATCTAACTTGCGTTTACACTTTGAGTCTTAATATCTTGATAAATAATAATATTAATTTAACGAAAATTTTACTAGAAACACTTTCAGCTAAAAGTTTATCAAAGTACACAAATAGGCATTTAAAATTTAGAAAAAATAAACACACACACACACGGCTCTGAAAGGGGGACACGACAATCGAGAGATGGTATCGCGCAGGGTAAGGGGGTTCACCAAGTAGAAAAAGATGAAGTCCCCGAACCCCTAATCGTCACATATCACTATGCGACGGATGGGGGATGTATGGAAGCAAAAGAGCAGAAGAGCAAGAAGAGGCAATGGAGAGAGCACGAGCGGAAGAAAATTTTAATCGAGTAAAGGTACTGTGTTTCCTTTTTTTTATATTGATTAGCAGTATTGAAATATTTATTTATATATAATGTGCGATGTGTATCTGAAAATTTCAAATACCATTTCTAGAAAATATTGACTATAGAGCACCTGGACGCAGGGCGAATCGAAACGCGATGCATGAAGAGAGACGCAGACAACTCAAGCGTCTTGGTCGTGTGTACGAAGCTGTAAGCGTAACATATCAATTCCATTTTTGATTTTACTGCATCAATAATTTTTTAAAATTCCCTGTGTCTTTGAAATGTATCACGTGTTTACTGGTGGATGGTACAGCTAAAATTTTTTACTTTTAGATAAATTGCCATCGTTTTTTGATCTCGCACGAAATGTACGATTAAATATATCCTCTCGATTAGCAAGAAAATTTTCTATATAACCTTGGGAAATTGCTGTAGAGCGCCGTCCACCTAGTTGTTGAAATTAGTTAAAATCTAGAAGTTTTTTTTTGTCAATCAGGTAGAATAAACATATTTTAGTAACACAAAAAAATGTCCACTAATTCGATTTATTTTTCAATAGCTTGTATTCGCATATATACGCAGTAGATTTATTGTTTAATTAATCTTTAACTGCAAGAAAACTTATTTATATTGTAATTAGTGTTATAGGAAAAACGCAGCCGATGAGCTCGTCGCTGTCGCAGCCGATGCACTCTTACAAGTTGCATCCCCCAGCTGAGAAGGCCATCATTGCGCATGCCTTGAGCGGCGCGCGAGCGAATGATTGCCTGACGAGACTGTGTAGCCTCCACGCGTAGCAGAAGTTCGAAATTCTCGGCGTGAGTTTAACAGCAGAGAGAGGGCGAGCAGGTAATCAATTATACGATACGCACTTAGACTCTGGTTGATTAAATTTTGGTCGACCAACCTAGTTTTCTAATCAGTGAATCTTTATTTTTAACAGTTGCTATTTTTCTTGCATTTCACCTTCGTGAGCTTCATTCTACAATAGTAAAGTGTATACGAGAAATCGAGGCAGAGCATCCAAGTCACCGGAGGACAAGAAGAGCACGGAGATCGAGCACCTACATCCGACACACAGAGAAAGAGAGAGAGAGAGCACCACAAAGAGTCGTCTAAATAAATAACAATTGTATGTTAATTTAATTATATTTACGATTAAGTATAAATCCGTGAGTTTTATAAGTCGTTCTTTAATAATAAGATATCTCAATAATTAAACAAGGAGGTCTATCGTCAAGTAAATTCTCATTAAAANAATTATTACGTTACCGGTGCTTTTCTCGCGGGATCTTCGGCAAAATGTATTAAACTTTCCTTTTGCTGGCAACTCAGTTTTGCAGCTTTGGCTCGCTCCTTGCTTGTTAATTCGGCCACTAAGCTTTTACAGCTGCATAATGTTATGGCATTTGATGTCGATGCACAGCTTGGTAATCTGTTGGATTCATTGTTCTCCGGTAGGAACGCACTCACAGCTATAATATTTTCTTCAGCAAAGCCTAGACTACTTCTCCGGCCGGGAATTACGTTTTCTTTGTCGTTAAGCCAATGTCCTAGTATCAGATTTCTGGATTTTTCAAACTCGCTTTTTGTCGAGCCACATCTACAAGAAATTCTCTCATGTGTGCCAAATATTATAGATTTAAAGTTAATTAATATTAAAATTCGCGATTCTATTGACTTTACTCAGCTTCACAAACTACGCAGTTTGTGGGTCAGTTGGGATGTCGACGCGATTAATTTGGCAGCTCGGCTGATCTTGCCGCAGCTTCGTTCATTGGTTGTTTTCAACGATACGATTAAAAATAATACAGCTCTTGACTTAAAAGGCCTGATGCCTGTTGTTAAGTCCGGAGTGAACCTCACCCTCAGGAACTATCGGCTTGACAGAATCTGCCCTAGCTGGCTCTACATTATGAGGAGAGATGACAAAATAAAATGGCGAGCCCATAACAACGACGTGGTGTTTACTAAAGATTAATTTTAAGTTATATTTTATTTGTAATCAACTATCCCGTACTCTTGTACTTCTAAAGTTTAATATTTTTTGTGTTACTAAGGCTTTGGGCCTCATTTATTTATCTTTCACTTATGCGAGTGTAATTTTTCCTTTACAATACAGTAGTACCTCCGTATTCGCGTTGGTTTGATTCCAAAAAAAGTGCCGCGAATACGGAACCATTGTTCTTTTAAGAAAGCTGGAGCTATAGGATTCTCTTCTTACTTTTTGATAGAACGTATATTAAATTGATTAACTTGATATTTCCTACCCATACAACTAATACGTTCACCTTTTTGAAGCAATTCTAATATTTTTAAATTGTCAGCTAGACTCATTACTTTTTTGGTTTCTCTTCTTCGGAGAATTACTCTTTTTATTATACTTGTTGTCTTTATTTTAATTTGTAAATAAATAAATAAATTATAAGACTATCAAAAATGTTGACAAAATATAAGTTAAAATATAATAGTTGGTTATGTAGAGTAAACGAAGTTGAATTGGTCCGCGAATGAGAGAACCGCGAATAAAGAATTTATTTCCGCGAATATGAAAACACGGTATTAAAGACGTTGGGGATCCTTGGGTCAAAATGGACCAAGAAGTTGAAAATTCGGGAATTGACAGTTAAAAACCCTTATAATTTTCTCCTGAAATTTCCAGCTTTGTTTGTCGAGTCAAATTTTGTAAATTTTAATTTAAAAAGTACATTTTTTAACATGGCTATCATAGAAGCGCGCAAAATTTCTCGCACAATTTTTAATATAACTTGAGAGTAATTTGGGAGATCGTGATCAAATTTCGTGTAATTATAGATGAAATTATATTACCTTTCAAACGGTATCGGTTATATTGTAAATTTACGAGCATATTTCAAAGTAATTTTATAAAAATAAAAAAATGTTGTGTTTGCTCTACAATCTAACTCGAGAGATTAGCAGCAGACAAAAATACGCGCGATAGCATGCGTATTGGCTTTGAGCCTATGATACCACCGACCCACCTTGTCAAATCAAGTATCTATCAAGAATCTATCAATCTAAATCATCATCTAAATCAAGGATCTACCTTCCGCTATTTCTCGATAGTTGCTGATTTGAGCTCGGTTGTGTCCCCAACGTCCTTAATTCACAAAGCCGAGAATACGGAAATCATGAATACTGATTACACAAATAAGGAGGGACTACTGTAACTAGTAAATTAATTACCATGGTATTAGTATTTAAACTTTTAATATAATTAAAATGTTATTATAAGTAAATGAATGAGACTTTTTTTATCGCTACTGCAATATAATTTAATATTCATTTTCTGTATAAATACAAATGTAATTAATCATTTTTTAAAACTCAATGTATCATATACAATTTTATTCAACCAATAATAGCGTTATAGCTAAATAAAATTTAATTACATTAGCGTTTACGCATTATAGCCTCGTGTCATTAATCTTAAAGTTTAATAGCAATCAAAGCGTTACAGCAAAAATGTTCCTTTTCTGTATAAAAGAAAACTTTTATTTGTGTAAAAAATGAATCAATTGAATACACAATGTAATTGCGAATTGAAAAATCTATTTCAACAATGGTAGTGAGCGTATATGCGTGCGATTACACACTCTGACACGTCGATGATTGTACTGCCAAAAAATCTCCAGTATGATAAATCACGTTTAATATTGATATCATCTTTAAGATCAAGTTTTTAACTTTAAAATGCCTTGTCTAAAATTGATCTAACTTGAGTTTACGCTTTGAGTCTTAATATCTTGATAAATAATAACATTAATATAACGAAAATTTTACTAGAAACACTTTCAGCTAAAAGTTTATCAAAGAACACAAATAGGCATTTAAAATTTAGAAAAAATAAACACACACACACACACACACACACATGGCTCTGAAAGGGGGACACGACAATCGAGAGATGGTATCGCGCAGGGTAAGGGGGTTCACCAAGTAGAAAAAGATGAAGTCCCCGAACCCCTAATCGTCACATATCACTATGCGACGGATGGGGGATGTATGGAAGCAAAAGAGCAGAAGAGCAAGAAGAGGCAATGGAGAGAGCACGAGCGGAAGAAAATTTTAATCGAGTAGAGGTACTGTGTTTCCTTTTTTTTATATTGATTTGCAGTATTCAAATATTTATTTATATATAATGTGCGATGTGTATCTAAAAAATTTCAAACACCATTTCTAGAAAATATTGACTATAGAGCACCTGGACGCAGGGCGAATCGAAACGCGATGCATAAAGAGAGACGCAGACAACTCAAGCGTCTTGGTCGTGTGGACGAAGCCGTAAGCGTAACATATCAATTTCATTTTTGATTTTACTGCATCAATAATTTTTTTAAATTCCCTGTGTCTTCGAAATGTATCACGTGTTTACTAGTGGATGGTACAGCTAAAATTTTTTACTTTTAGATAAATTGCCATTGTTTTTTGGTCTCGCACGAAATGTACGATTAAATATGTCCTCTCGATTAGCAAGAAAATTTTCTACATAACCTTGGGAAATTGCTGCAGAGCGCCGTCCACCTAGTTGTTGAATTTTGTTAAAATCTAGAAGTTTTTTTTTTGTCAATCAGGTAGAATAAACATATTTTAGTAACACAAAAAAATGTCCACTAATTCAATTTATTTTTCAATAGCTTGTATTCGCATATATACGCAGTAGATTTGTTGTTTAATTAATCTTTAACTGCAAGAAAACTTATTTATATTGTAATTAGTGTTATAGGAAAAACGCAGCCGATGAGCTCGTCGCTGTCGCAGCCGATGCACTCTTACAAGTTGCATCCCCCAGCTGAGAAGGCCATCATTGCGCATGCCTTGAGCGGCGCGCGAGCGAATGATTGCCTGACGAGTAACTGTGTAGCCTCCACGCGTAGCAGAAGTTCGAAATTCTCGGCGTGAGTTTAACAGCAGAGAGAGGGCGAGCAGGTAATCAATTATACGATACGCACTTAGACTCTGGTTGATTAAATTTTGGTCGACCAACCTAGTTTTCTAATCAGTGAATCTTTATTTTTAACAGTTGCCATTTTTCTCGCATTTCACCTTCGTGAGCTTCATTCTACAATAGTAAAGTGTATACGAGAAATCGAGGCAGAGCATCCAAGTCACCGGAGGACAAGAAGAGCACGGAGATCGAGCACCTACATCCGACACACAGAGAAAGAGAGAGAGAGAGAGCACCACAAAGAGTCGTCTAAATAAATAACAATTGTATGTTAATTTAATTATATTTACGATTAAGTATAAATCCGTGAGTTTTATAAGTCGTTCTTTAATAATAAGATATCTCAATAATTAAACAAGGAGGTCTATCGTCAAGTAAATTCAAATCAAAATCCACCGCATTTAAATTTCACACTAGCACACCTGAAGTTAAAAATAAAATCGTATCACGAGTTGATATTTTCTTAAAATCTATATCAGAGGACGTAGAATCAATTAAAAAGGAGTTTGAAACTGATGAAAAAGGCATAAACGAGTCGGTTACTGACGCACTTGTGAACTGTGGTGAAGACGAAACAGTATAAAAATCTTTATATCGTTGATGGATCGGTAAATCCTCTTAGAAATTTTTTTTTCCGAGACAAAGAATTTAAAAATATTGCAGCCGCGGTCCCCACTGTAAAGACTGAAGTTACTACCAACGGCAACGCGAGTAATCACGCAATGGATAATAGTGGTGAAGAACGTGATAACGAAACTTTAAACGCAAAAATGGCCGCTGAAGCGCAAAGTACATTAATTAAAGAATTGTCAAAGGATAACTCTAAGTTTGACGGGTCAACTGAACAAAATGATCAAAAAACGTTTATATTACGTCTGAAAGAAAAATTCACTGACCTATCTGTGTTCATTGACTATTTTTTTATATTTATTTTCAGACAAACAATTAATTTTTTGGAGTTCTTTAACGATCTGTTTAGGCAGTAATTTAACTTATAATTTTATAAGTGTTCAAGATGATTTAAAATACTTAAAATTTATTAAAAAATTATTTCATATTTATTTTCATTTTTAGTGCACATTTATTCTTTTTTTTCTTTTTTCATTCTTTTTTCTCCCTTAAAAAGAATCAAAATTGTATGTAATACTCATGCTTGTGTCCACGTTGTGACAATTTAATAAAAAGAAAATGATGAAAATATTGATATTGAAAAAATTATTCAGTCGCCACAAAAGATTGAACGTTAAAATTTTCAATTTTAAAATCGTACGAGAAAAAGTAATGAGATTATTTTATTTGATAAAAATTGTAATGATGTCTTAGAAGAGAATATTGAAGAAATAAACAATAGTTATTATGAAAAAGATAAAATAAAAGAATTATTTATGGTTGAAACATTGTTAGAAAAAAATTTACGGGAGGAAGTAGTGTCTCTTGAGAATTTTGACAGATATCGAGTTGAATATCGTAAACGAACGCGTAATGCATATAAATGAATCGTATGAATTAAATGTTAATAAAAATTATGATAATGTTGTTATTGATGAAAATGAAAGAGTTAAAAAGTTAATGAAATCACTTGGACTTAAATATAATCGGAGCAAAAAATTGAATAAAATTATTGATCTTATTCGTGAATACGCCAGTATCTTTCATTTAAAAGGTGAATCGCTTGGTGCAATCCATATTATAGAACATGCGATATATACAAAAAATGACACACCCATAAATGCATGAGTTTTATATCCAAAAATTAAAGATCAATTTAAATAAAAACGCAAAAGAGAGGACTTGTTACCTAAAATAAATTCTGCAAATAAAGAGAGATCTCAAGTGCATATAAGTAGTATAAAAATATAGATATTTCGCATAAAAAATGTTTATGACGCAAAGTAAAGTATGATCAGAAACTGTTGTGTTTGACAAATTTAAAATACAATCAAACAAAGCTAACATTGTTATTGGGTAATATATAATAAGCTGAATAATTATGTATACATTTAATTATATTTAAGATTCTGCGAGTTGTGTAAGTCGTTAGAATAGAATAAATTACTCTTTAATGTACTCAATATTTAGAGTGTTCTCACATTTTATTTATAAACTCTATCCATCTCTCCAATAAGATCTGTAATTATTTTTTTATGTAGCTCCTCTGGATATTACACCAGCTTGCGGGAATACATCATCCAGCATCATCTAACAACAATTACAGCTTTGTCAACTTCCCAACGTTTGTTCGATCATAAGTCGTTTTTTATTATTTCCCTGGCTGCTTTATTGAAATTTAGCTAAATTTTAGAGTCTCGATCGAGAAAAGCTGACATGTATTTGGAAGGCTACGTTTGATAATGTAGCTCAATTTTTGAAAAGCTGTTACGTTAAAAGATAATTTACTAGCGCAAAAAGAAAATAACGCAAAAAAAGCCTTCAGGTATCTACTCCGAGCTGAAAATTTTCGATTTCAGCACCCATCTTCTGCACAGATCTGCAAAAAGACACTATTTAACGGTTTTTCACTCGGCTCCTGCGATATCTTTGATTTTATTCTTTTTATTAGAAATATTTAAAAAAGGGGTACACCCTACTGTAAATATATCATTGTGTATGATTCTGTTAGATATTTTTAAATAATCTCGCAACCGATCTCGTCTTCGTATAATATAGTTTAGTAAAAATTTACATAAAATTAAAAATAATAATCCACCTGATAAGCCCAAGCGCAAATACAACATCTACTGAGCGTCGCAGTACATACATTAAGGGTGATAAACGATATCTATCGATCGAAGCGAATTTTGTATCAAACATGGTGTGGGTGTGCATATATAATTTTAAACAGATTATTACCGGACAGAGAGAGGCTTTAATATGCGTTGAAATGCAGGCGCACGAGTCTGTAGATTTCAGAGTGTACACTCTTCATGCGTCATCGCTGCAATCTCAGGCCCTTTTTATAGTAAATGTGCATATGGTGTACTTTTCTTAATATATTCTGGTCACGCGTGGATGTGTAAAATTAAATATTAATTAAAAAGCAGTAATCCCAGTATTTGGTTACCAATATGTTCCAGATCTTTCGCGCTTAAATTGAACGCATTCTCCTTTTCCCCTGGTTCCAATTATTATTATTTATAAGAATCACCGAGTACTCGAGCGAGCTCCAGGTCTAATAAACCCAATAAACCTAAGTAGGCATTTAAAATTGAGAAAAATTTAATTTTTTTCATTTTGCAATAAATTTGTTTGCAACAAATTTCGGACAGTCTGAGTGACCTCCCATGGTAGTATTCGTTGTAAATATTGTGTTATAAATCACTTGTCGCATGATCTTGAAAAGATTTTTTTATCAATATTCATCAATGGAGTGTCAACATTTTCAAAAAAGTACTCTCTCGAGAAAGAGAGAGAGAGAGAGTGACAGAGAGAGAGAGAAAGAGAAAGAGAGACTTACAATTATAACTTATAACTTAAACTTATAACTTAAATGGCAAAATATGCAATTTCATATGAAACGTATGCAATTGCATATAATCCGGGCTCTAATTATAAGCCTAATATGTGATCGGCGCGTTTCTGTTATTATTCGTGCGCGTTGAAATATATGTACTCGATACTCGTTACCGCTGCGTTTGAGGCTCGTCGCTTCCTCCTCCAGTTCCACCCCCTGCAGTGCCAACAATACCATCATTGCGCATGCCTCGAAGCCTTTCGGAGAGAGGGGCGGGCATGGCTTAATTCGGATGTTTGGATGTTCGGATACACACCAAAACGAGACACTCCGTCGCCGACCTTCCGCCTGATCAGTAGCACAGAGAAAGCGAGCCTTTGCGATTTTTGCATACCAAACAATTAACGATACGCGCTAAGATTTTGGTCGACAAATCTAGTTTTTTGATCAGTGGATATTTGTCTTAAACAGCATTTCATCTTCGCAAGCTTCATTCTACAACAGCAGCTTCAAGCAACAACAGGAGCCAGGGGAAATACATCGTCCAGCATCATCTAACAACAATTACAGCTCTGTCAACTTCCCAGCGATCGTAAGTCATTTTTTATTATTTCCCTGGCTGCTTTATTAAAATTTAGCTAAATTTTAGAGTCTCGATCGAATTGATAACTTTACGGAAATTGTTAACTACAGTGTATCATACTCGGCTTATACGCGTGTCGTGTATCGCGAGTCTTCCAAGATAATTGTCGAGAGTTTGTGTAAATCCGGAGTTTTCGCGTCTTTTCGTTTGTCCATGTTGCATCGTATTTCGGCTTGATTTTCCTTTTTCTCGTGCTCAAATTTTCAATTTGAAAACATCGCGTTTTTTAGATCTGCGAATTTCGCCGATTTTATATCGCCAGAATTGAAATTATTAATCGATACAAGCTCAAAGTAATTTTGAAACAATCCTCGCGTTATGATATGTCTTGAAATAAAACGTCTACGAGTTAGTTCGAGTCCATTCGAATATTTAAAAAATTCATTGAATTAAGTCGTTTACGTCTCGAAGCGCCGAAGCAACTTATTCGATCACGCGGCGTTTTCGCATTTGACTTTGGCGCGCCATGACTTGCAACAGGTAAGAGGCGGGTACTAAACTAATGCATCCCCCTTTCAGTCCTGTAGATTACCCTCAAAAAGAGCTCTTTTTAACGAAAAAGCGTTACAAAATTTATAACCGGTTCGAACATGATTTTTCTGATAGGTAACACCTAGGAGCACTTACTGTAAAAAGTTAGACAAGATTAGATGGGTGGCACATATAAGTAATTGTAAAAAGCCGTTATTTTTTCATAAAACGAATTTTACCGAATTTCAACTTCAACTCGCGATATCTCTGAAAGTCATCAATATTTTTGGATGAAATTTTATGACAACATTCTTAAAGTAGTCTACAATAATAATAACTTGTTCCGAAAACTTCGCTATTATTTTTAACAAAATGGCAAATTTTTTAAAAAAAATTTCGACCAAACATAACTTTTTTTTCCAGTTGCAAAAGTCTTGTTATAAATTTTTGAAATTGAAATTTTGCATAGTACTACGTTAAAGTGCAATAGTTGAAAATAATTTTGGTAAAGTTTCAAATCAGTTCATCAATTATGTAAAAAGTTACGGCGTATGGAAAGTCGAGTCTTCGCGTAAAATTGTTTAGAGTCTAGGCGCTGAGGGGCATCGTATGCATTGGAAGGTCCCACAAGAAACGAAGTGTATTTTCCACGCATTTGGACCCACTGAATCCGAATTTTCAACGCTCACCTCGCTTAGATCGTCGAGTAATTTGTTATAAACAAACTAATTTTTAATACGGCTATAACTCCTAAACTATTCAATTTTTATGAAAACAATTTTTTTTTCATTTTATTATACACAAAAAAACAAAAATTTCCTTTTCTTATTCGTCTTGATACGACCAATAGACCCGCTTATCAATAAGAAAAATTATCAAAAAAAAAAAAAGGAAATTTGATGTCTCGGTCCCTATAAATATTTGATAGTTCGATGCCTCCTAGCAGCAAGATGCCAGTTTACAAAGCAGAGATGCTACTTCGGCGCGCTGTTCGGCAAGATGCTGCTTCAGCGCTGCGTTCAGCAAGATTCTAGTTCGTGGCCGCGTTCTGCATGATGCTACTTCGAGGCCCATATAATAAAATAATAAAAATCAAAACTAGACTGTAGATTACCCTTTGCGAAGACAATTTAAAACTGTACACGATTTAATTTTCAAAGTGTTCAATTCGCACCTCGATAGAGTTATGGAATTTGGAATTGTCTTCGCAAAGTGTAATCTATTGCCGAGCTTAGATTATTACTATTTTTATTATATGGGCCTCGAAGTAGGAAAGCAGTA